CTCTCTCTGGATGTCTGTCCTCTCTCTGGATGTCTGTCCTCCCTCCGGATGTCTGTCCTCTCTCTCTGGATGTCTGTCCTCTCTCTGGATATCTGCCCTCTGTGGATGTCTGTCCTCTCTCTGGATGTCTGTCCTCTCTCTGGATGTCTGTCTTCTCTCTGGATGTCTGTCCTCTCTCTCTGGATGTCTGTCCTCTCTCTGGATGTCTGTCTTCTCTCTGGATATCTGTCCTCTCTCTCTGGATGTCTGTCCTCTCTCTAGATGTCTGTCCTCTCTCTGGATGTCTGTCCTCTCTCTATGGATGTCTGTCCTCTCTCTGGATATCTGTCCTCTATGGATGTCTGTCCTCTCTCTGGATGTCTGTCCTCTCTCTCTGGATGTCTGTCCTCTCTCTAGATGTCTGTCCTCTCTCTGGATATCTGTCCTCTCTCTGGATGTCTGTCCTCTCTCTGGATATCTGTCCTCTCTCTGGATGTCTGTCCTCTCTCCGGATGTCTGTCCTCTCTCTATGGATGTCTGTCCTCTCTCTGGATGTCTGTCCTCTCTCTGGATGTCTGTCCTCTCTCTCTGGATGTCTGTCCTCTCTCCGGATGTCTGTCCTCTCTCTATGGATGTCTGTTCCTCTTCCATGACCCTGGGTCATGCCAGGGTCAGTATGGCATGTGGCTCTCTGGAAGAACAAGGTGGAGACAACTCCGTTTACAAACTCCAAACACCCTCTGGGATATTTGGGGTCACAGCAAGTTTCAGGGCTCATGCTTCTTCTCCCCCACCCACAGAGGGACCCTGTGCCAGTGTGGACACCCCCGAAATGTGCACCCGTCCGTGGCTGTGGAGGACGCGTTTGGGGCGGCTGTTGTGACTGTATGGGATGGGGACGCGCACACCACGGAGAAGCCCACTGATGCCTATGGGGACCTGGACTTCCTGGGCTCAGGCCGCAAAGTCAGCAATGTGAGACTGTGGGCGACACAGGAAGGAGGGTCGGCGAGGGGCTGGCAAGCCTCTGGGCTCCCCGGGGTCGGGTCTGTGGGGTCTCAGCTGAGGCCTGTGTCTCCCACCTTGCCTGTCCTCGTCTGTGTTGCTTCCTATGTCTCCATCCTTCTATTTCTTGTCTCTGTCTCTCTCTTGCATTCTCTCTGGGTGTCTGTCCTCTGTCTCTGTACCCCTCCCCTCTGGATCTCTGTTACCCGACCTGGATCATTGTCTGTCCCCCACCCCGGGTCTCTGTCTCCCCCTTTCCCTTTCTGGTCTCTGTCGCCCCTCTGTCTGGGTTTCTGTCATCCCCTCTTTCTGGGTCTCTGTCCTCCACTCGGTCTTGGTCTCTGACCCCCTCCTCTGTCTGGATCTCTGTCCCCCCTCTATCTCTGGGTCTTTGTCTCCCCCTCTTTCTCTCTGGGTCTCTGCCCCCCCTGGGTATCTGTCCCTCCCGTCTGGGTCTCTGCCCCCACCTCTCTCTGGGTCTCTGTCCTCCCCCACCCCCGTCTGGATCTCTGTCTCCCTCTCTTTGGGTCTTTGTCTTCTTCTCTCTCTGGGTCTCTGTCCCCCTCTCTCTCTGGGTTTCTGTCCCTCTCTCTCGGGGTCTCTGTCCTTCTCTCTCGGGGTCTCTGTCCCTCTCTCTCGGGGTCTCTGTTCCTCTCTCTTGGGGTCTCTGTCATCTCTCTGGGTCTCTGTCCCCTTCTCTCTACGTCCCTGTCCCCCTCTCCTCGTGTCTCATCCCCTGTATACCCACAGTTCCTCCGTCTCTCTGACCGCACGGATCCAGCGGCAGCTTATAATCTGGTCACGAATACATGGGGCTTCCAGCCCCCGAACTTGGTGGTGTCAGTGCTGGGGGGCTCCGGGGCCCCCGTCCTCCAGACCTGGCTGCAGGACCTGCTGCGTCGCGGGCTGGTGCGGGCTGCCCAGAGCACAGGTGACTGGGGCGAGTGGGTGGTAGCTCCTTGTGGGGCTGTCATCTCCTCTTGGGGGCCAACTCAGGTTCTGTCTCTCCTAACCCCGAGGTCTCTGCCGATCTCTCTTCTCTGGCTCTCACACCACACTCTCTCTCTCTGTAGGAGCCTGGATTGTCACCGGCGGGCTGCACAGAGGCATTGGTCGGCATGTTGGTGTGGCAGTACGAGACCACCAGACAGCCAGCACCGGGGGCAGCAAGGTGGTGGCCATGGGTGTGGTCCCCTGGGGCGTGGTCAGGAACCGAGATACCCTCCTCAACCCCAAGGTGGGTCTCAGCGTCTGAGGCAGGAGGGGGCTGCGGACCCAGAGGGCAGTCTGAGGGAGGAGGGATCCAGGGAATGGGAGGTTGGGTTCTAGGTTTGAGGGAGGAGACACTGGGGTCAGTGGGCTGTGTTATCGTCTTTATTGGAGGTGGAAATTTAGGTTTGAAAGAAGTGTAACCACAAAATGATTCTCTGTTTCTCTGTCCCTACTTTCTGGGGCCCTGTGTCCTCCTCTCTCCATCTCTGTCCTCTGTCCATCTCTGTCCTTTGTCCTCTCTCTCTCTCTCTGAGTTGCTGTCCCCCTCCTGCCCCCAGCTCTGTCGTCCCCTCCTTTTGGATTTTTGCTTCTCTCTCTGGGTCTGAGGGAAGAGGGGACCAGTGTAGAGACCCCAGTGTTGGATCTGAGGGAGGAAGCAAGTAGCGTCAGGACTCCTGGGTCTGAGGGAGGGAGGGATCAGAGTCAGCACCCTTGGGACTGAGGGAGAGGGTCTGGGAATTGGGACCCCTGGGTCTGAGGAAGGAGGGCCTGGGGACCCCTGGGTGTGAGGGAGGAGGGGCAGGGGACCCCTGGGTCTGAGGGAGAAGGGCCTGGGGACCCCTGGGCCTGTGGGAGGAGGGGCTGGGGACCCCTGTGTCTGAGGGAGGAGGGGCTGGGGACCCCTGGGCATGTGGGAGGAGGGGCTGGGGACCCCTGCATCTGAGGGAGGAGGGGCTGGGGACCCCTGCATCTGAGGGAGGAGGGGCTGGGGCTAACTTTGGGATCTCGGGACCAGTGATTGGTGCCTGTACCCTTGGAATGAATGTCCCGTGATCTGCCCACCTGTCCTTTAGGGCTCTTTCCCTGCGAGGTATCCGTGGCGCAGCAGCTCTGAGAACAGAGGCCAGTTTCCCCTGGACTACAATTACTCTGCCTTCTTCCTCGTGGACGACGGCACACACGGCCGGCTGGGCGGCGAGAACCGCTTCCGCCTGAATTTCGAGTCCTACATCGCTCGGCAGAAGACAGGCGTGAGGGGTGAGTGGCTTCTACTCCTGTGACCATCAGGGTCCAGGTCAGAATGTGCGGCTGCAGTGGGGAGAGAATTATCCATGGCCAGCTTCCCTAGCGCATCCTTCTCTGTGGTTTTTAAAAAAATACTCAGGGAGCTCTGGTCTAGTGGCAAGAAGCTGCACTGCAATCCCAGAGGTGCGCAGTTTGAATCCACCAGATGCTCTGCTGGAGAAGGAGGGACAATCTCCTCCCGTACCTGTCAGATCTGATTTGACGGTACACACGAAAAATAATAAAATAAAATTTAAAAAAATACTCAAGTTGAAATCTGTCATGCTTATGTACAAATACACAAAAAGAAAAAATGATGCACAGAAGCTCTGCGTCAGAGAGCTGGACAATGACCAGGGAGGATAGAAGGAGAGTTGATGCCTTTGAGCTGTGGTGCTGGAGAAGAGTGTTGAATATACCATGGACTGCTAGGACAACAAACAGGTTTGTCCTGGAGAGGGTGAGACCAGGCTGCTCCTTGGAGGCAAGGATTCTGAAACTCCGTCTGACATACTTTGGACATGTTGCAAGGAGGGACAGGTCCTTGGAGAGGGACGTCATGCTTGGGAGGGTGGAGGGACAGTGCAAAAGAGGAAGATCCTGGATGAGATGGATTGACTCAGTGACTTGGGTAATGGGTGTAGGTGTGTCAGAGACAAGAAGATTGGCACAGGATAGAGCAGGGTTTAGGACTGGTGTATATAGGGTCCCTGTCAGTCTTAAGCCACTTGAAGACACATAACAATAACCACCAGTCCCTGTGCTTATAAAATGCTGTGTAACTATGTTCTTAGCTGTGTTATATGAATGTTTCCCTCTCTCATTCTTTTTTTTTGTCATTTATCTGGTTTTATTTCTGTTATGTGCTGTCAAGTCAGCTGAACCTCCGTGAATTGGTCACAGAAAGTCGCACGTGAGGTGCTAATCCGTCTTTCTCACTCAAAGCTGCTGGTAGACTTGAATTAATCAAAAGTACTACCTTTGGGGTAACAGTGCAATTCCCGACACACTGGCCGCCAGAGCGATTTTCTGGGAATATAAATAATATTTTCTTCAGGTAAATCTCTCTATCCCAGTTTTTTTTATTTGTTTTTTCATTAAATTATTTTACTTCATTCTTCTTGAATTAGGGAGCTCTGGTGGCCTAGTGGAAAGAATCTGTGCTGCAATCCTGAAGGCACACAGTTCGAATTCACCAGGTGCTCTGTGAGAGATGTAGGGGCAGTCTTCTCGCCTGCTATTAACCGTGCGCCTCTGGGATTATAGTTGCAGCTCCTTGCCACTAGGCCACCAGAGCTCCCCAGAAAGAAAAACTCTTTCAATAATCTTTTCTTATTTTATATTTTAATGAAAACACACCCACTCTGCATTGACTGGCATGGTTTGATTCCGAAGACCAGGTCATTAATAGAAAAATTGGCATTAGGTAAAAATGGAAGATGACCATGTCAGTGTATAAAACAGAAGATGACTGCATAATTATACCACAGCCACATTACATCACCACCTAGCTGCCAGATCACCAAGCCCCACAGCCCAGCCAAGTGTATACATAACTCCATCCATCACAGTGCAATTTGTAACTTACACCTCTGCTTTGGTTTCTGCTGGACATACATCATCGACGTGCAAAATAGGCAGATCAAGGGAGCTCTGGTGGCCTACAGGCAAGAAGCTGCACTGCAATCCCAGAGGTATGCGGTTCGAATCCATCAGATGCTCTGCTGGAGAAGGAGGGGCAATCTCCTCCTGTTCCAGTCAGATCCGATTTGATGGCACACACACACACACACACAAAATAAAAAAAAATTTAAAAAATAGTCAGATCATAGAGTTTGTGTTATTTCTGCAGATATGCAGTGTCATATCAGAAGATAGTCGAGTAAGGCGTGGGTGTAATTAGTATAAAGCTGCTTTATCTGACTTTGCTCCTGGGCTCCCGCAAACATCCTTATTGTACATAATCTTTTCTGTAATTATTGCTTTCATTTTATCTTTGCACTTCTACCTATTTCTGGCTCCTGGTCAGTTAATCAGTTACAGGACTGACAATTACCGTCATGTCTGCTTCGATAGATCTGGGACTCAGGAGCCCACACCTGCGACCTTCTGTGATTCCTTGTGGAGGGGAACACGTTAGTCCTCAAAATTCCCTCTCCAAAAGTGCTCAAATAAATGCCAGTTCCCCTGAGCCTCAGCAGAGAGGTTTGGGAAAAGGATTGCCCCAGAGATTTCTGGGGAATATGCTTCCCTGACAGCTAGTAAAGGATGATTAAAAATATCCTGATGGATCCTGGAGACCTGGATAGTCAACCTTCTGCTTTGTTTTTTTTTTCTCTCTTTTTAAAAATTTTAATTTTATTATTATTATTTTGTGTGTGTGTGTGTGTGTGTGTGTGTGTGTGTGTGTGTGTGCCATCAAAGTGGATCTGACTGGTACAGGAGGAGATTGTCCCTCCTTCTCCAGCAGAGCATCTGGTGGATTTGAACCGTGCATCTCTGGGATTGTAGTACAGCTTCTTGCCACTAGGCCACCAGAGCTCCCTCTTTTCTAAAAAAAGTCATTACTGCACATTTTCTTCCCCCAGCCCACCCTGCAGTGCACCCCTTGTTCCAAATTGTTGTCATGCATATATATAATACATTTCTTTTAAATTTTTATTATTTTACATTTTTTTATTATTATTATTTTATTAGTGTGTGTGTGTGTGTGTGTGTGTGTGTGTGTGTGTGTACCGTCAAATCGGATCTGACTGGTACAGGAGGAGACTGTCCCTCCTTTTCCCAGCAGAGCATCTGGTGGATTTGAACCATGCGCCTCTGGGATTGCAGTGCAGTTTCTTGCCACTAGGCCACCAGAGCTCCCCTTATAATACATTTCTTTCAGACACTTCTTCGCCTCATCTGATCTAATGCACTGTTCATTATCTATCCACTCATTTCCCATTCTCTCCCCATCTTCCCCGTGTCAGTCCTATTTTATAATAGCGGTGTTTATGCAGTATTTGTCCTTTTGTGACTGAGATAACTTCACTTAGCGAAATGCCCTCCAGGCTCCTCCGTGTTGTGTAATGTTTTACAATCTCATTGTTTTTCAGTGCTGCATAATATTCCATGGTGCGAATGTACCATAGTTTTTCTATCCATTTGTTTGTTGATGGGCACTTGAGTGAGTTGCTTCCATCTCTTTTGCTATTGTGAATAACACAGCAATAGTCATGGATGTGCATACATCTCTTTGTGTAATGACTCTGGTCTCTTTAGGGTATATTTCCAGTAGCTGGATCAAATAGTATTTTTATTTCCACCTTTCTGAGAAAGCACCAGACTGCCTTCCATTGTGGTTGCACCATTTTACATTCCCACCAGCAGCAGTGCATAAGAGTTCCCGTCTCACCACATCCTTGCCAGCATTTGTTGTTTGCTGCCCTGTTGAACTTTGCTGTTGTTCCTGGGGTGAGATGATCTCTCACAGTTGTTTGCTCTCTCCTCTCTTCAGGGACTGGAATTGACATCCCTGTTCTCCTCCTTCTGATTGACGGGGATGAGAAGATGCTGAAGGTACAAGCACCTGGGCTCCTGAGTCTAAGGCAGGCAGAGGCTGGGAGCCTGAATGTCGAGGTGGAAGGGAAAAGAGGGCTGAGAGTCTGGACTCCTGGTAGACTGAATACCTGCTCCCCCTAACCTAACTCTCTCCGCTTTATCTTTAGAATAAAATGCTATTATTAATTTTTAGTTGAGTGAAAATTGATGAGCCCTATTTGGTTTGGTTTTTCGCTCAATCATTCATGTCGACTTTTTGTTGTATACCATCAATTACAATTGACCTTGCCTGTGTCTTGTAGCGGATAGAGAATGCCACGCAAGCCCAGCTCCCTTGTCTCCTGGTAGCTGGGTCTGGGGGTGCTGCAGACTGCTTGGCAGAGGCCTTGGAGGACACCTTGGCCTTAGGGAGTGGAGGGTCCCGGCGGGGTGAAGCTCAAGATCGGATTAAGCGTTTCTTTCCCAAAGGAGACCCCGAGGTTCTGCAGGCCCAGGTATGAACCCTGAGATGAGAAAGGGCTGAGGTCTCAGGGGCGAGGAGCTGGGGACCTGTGCTCCTGTTCTGGGGACAGAGGGTCTGGGCACCCAGGTGTGTGTAGGTCCTAGAGGAGACTAGCCTCCTGTGACCTTGTGGGAGGAGGGCTCTGAGTCTGATCTTCTGCCGGAGGGACATGGTCCTACAACCTGGGTCTACTGGACCGTGCCCAGGAGGAGTGGGGCCGGGGATGCAGACATTGGCATCTTGCAGGTGGAGAGAATCATGGCTCGGAAGGAGCTGCTCACCGTCTACTCATCTGATGACGGCCCTGAGGAATTCGAGACCATTGTCTTAAAGGCCCTCGTGAAAGGTAAGACGTGGGGAGACCCCCACATTCTCCTCCCTCCACTCGACCTTGGTCACCTTCCCTGGCTTGGGCACTTTATCCGTTCCTTGTAACCTGAAGTCCATGCCACTTTTTATCTGTCTCCTGACATCTTTTACTTTTGTAGTGTTTTGGGTCCTGTTTGGTATGTTTTCTCCAGATATTTTTTATTACGTTCCAATCTCTTCCTTCTGTTAGATCCATCCATCTTTTTATCTTTCTATCCACTCATCGGCTCGTTATTCCATGAATCCATTGTTCTGTCATCCGTTCATGATCCATCCATCCATCCATCCTTCCATCCATCCATTAATCATTCCATACACCATCCCAACACATCTGCTACTCACCCTGTTTTTCATCCTAGTCAGTCAAACTATTCTTCTTTTTTTTTTCTTTCCTTTTTTAAAATTAACTTTAATGAAAGTTTACAGAGACTTAGGGTTTCCAGTCATTCACTGTTGCACTTTTCTCCCTGCCTACTCCTCCCCGCCCGCAATTCACTCTTCTCCTTGAAAAGTAAAAGAAAAACTCTTTCATTGTTATGCAATCCCTCCCCCAAGTCCACTCCACTGTGCAGCCTTCATTCTGGACTCCTGTCATGACAAGAATATCCATTCATGTCAAGGAATACCTACAGTTCTCTCCCTCATCTCTTTCAATGCCATATACATCATTCCCCCCTCCTTTTCTGTCTTCCCTCAACCCTGATATCAGTCCCGTTTTCACACAATGGCCCTATGCAATATTTATCCTTTTGTGACTGAGATATTTCACTCAGCATAGTGTCCTCCAGGGTCATTAATTTAGCATAATATTTCATGAGTTTCTTGTTTTTCAATGCTGCATAGTATTCCATTGTGAGCTTCTCTATCCATTCGTTTGTTGATGGGCACTTAGGTTGTTTCCAGCTCTTTGCTATTGTGAACAAAGCCACGATAAATATGGATGTGCAAATATCTGCTTGGGTGGCGGTTATGGTTTCCTTAGGGCAGCCAAACTATTCTTACATCTAGTTATCCATCTACCCATCGGTCTTTCTTTCCATCAGCACATTCACTGATAACTCTGTTTACTCATCCAACCAGTCATTCTTTCATCTCTCCACCCGCCCTTTTTTCCCTTTTGCATGTGCCTCCAATAGGTGGTAAGCATTGAGAGGTAAAGGGAGTTGAACATGAACCAAAGATCCATCACCCTGTGAGGCAATCCTGATATCTAAGACCCAGCTTAGAGGAGTCCATGGTGAAGATCAAGGCAGGGCGCTAACTACCCCCTGGCATATTACAAACATGAAAACAGGTGTGTGCCTGGCTTCCTTCTAGCCTCTAGAGGTTAAAGCAATCCTATCTCCTCCTCCCAGGTTGTTTGGACACAACCTTAAATAGACGCCAAGTCAAATAAAGACTCACCTTCAGTAGAGGAGAAACTTCAAGACTACCTGAACTTGAAGGGTCATTAATTTGGACTTGGCCCAATGAGTGTGGGGTAGAGAAGTGGTAATAAAAATTGCTTGGCTTCGTGGGAAGAATATGGGTGAAGAAGGTCCTTTTGATGTTAGAAGAATTTCCCAGGAGAACCATCCACTTAGCTAAAAACCTCTCAGGTGGCATTATAGAGAGTTTTCTTAGCTCCAGCTCTCCACTTCAGTTGTATCTCCTGTGTCCTGTGGAGTGACAAAGAAACAGTGGCTCTGGAACTGGACAAAGCAGAATCTGAATACACGCTTGGCCACTTCCTTGCTGTGGGGCAGAAATTCCCCTCTCTGACTATCAGCTTCTTGCTCTGAAAAAAATGCAGATAATAGCTAGCGTTCTGAACCGTAGAGGCCATGCAGGAGCAGTGAAATCCCAGTGGATGGGGCCCCTTCTTAATAGGATTCCGTTTCTCATGAGACTCCTTAAGTAGCCCATGACGGTCAGCTGGGGAAAAACGGATTCACTTTAGACTTAAACTCAGCCTCCTGGGAGGTAGTACAGCACTTCTGTACGATGTGGTTTGAGAGGGCGGTGGTTTAAGTCTATGGGCTGCAGACAGGGGAGTGATCGCTCCGCTCGGGAAACTGGAGATGGCACGAAGGGGCTGGTGAAAACAGAGTTGAAAGGATGGGGTTTCAGCAGGTGAGGAGAAAGGGGGAAGGGCACACCCGCTCCGAGTCTAGTGTGGGCCAGGCACTGTGGTGAGTACACGCCAAGGATTCTTGCACCTTCTCCTCAATTCCCTGCCTGCAGGGATCATTCCTTTATTTTATAAATCAAGAAACTAGGACCCAGAGAGGGGGGGAGTGACTTGCACAAGGCCACACAACTAGTGACAGGCACCTGGGATTTTAATTCAGGCGCATTGCTTCCTCCCACACCAGTAGGGGGTCCCTGTGGCTAGTATTTAGGGTGGACGAAGGGAGTATGAAAGGCAGAGTTAATGAGGTGGACAGAACCAGACCACCTGGGACATCAAATGCCAGCCTAAGGCGGATGTCAAAGAAAACCCTATTCTTGATTGGGTTCCCATCCATGAGGATGGTCTTGTGGGGTCCAGTGACCCTATGTGACAGAGTACAACTTTTCCAGAAAGTTTCCTAGGCTGTGATATTTTTTAATGGGTTTTTTTTTGTTTCTCTCTCTCTTCTTTTCTTTTCTTTCGTACTGTCGAGTTGGATCCAACTGGCACAGGAGGAGATTGCCCCTCCTTCTCCAGCAGAGCATCTGGTGGATCCAAACCACGTGCCTTTGGGATTGCAGTGCAGCTTCTTGCCACTAGGCCGCCAGAGCTCCCTGGCGGTGATATTTTTTTTTTTTTTAAAAAAGAACTTTATCTCAGTGTTTTTTTACTAATCATATTGGGTTTTCATGCAATCATTTATAGACATTTTGTAATATTCATTACAGTTGGTTAATCTAATTCGGATTTTTAGGGGAGCCAACTGCCAAGTCTTTTCTTCGGTGAGGTCGCTGGTGGATTCGAACTCTGAACCTTTCTATTAGCTGTTGCACTAATTAACCACTGTGCTACTAGAGCTCATTTCTGCAAGGTTAGGATTTATGGCACTTATTTTTGAGGGGGACACAAATCAATCCATAACATGCCTATAGTATTTTTTTTTGGTAATTTTTTAAAGATGCCAGATTCTGTCCAGTTCATTCACTCAGTAATGTAGAATTGGGTCGGACTCATAGCTGACCCTCGAGCAGGCTGTAAAACCTAATGGGGACTGTCTGTTTTTCCCCTGTGGAGCCGTGGTGGATTCATTCCACCAGAGACGCAGAACTGGCGTGAACAGTGCAGCCGGCTAAGGACTGCACACCGGAGCACACTTTGACAGCCCTCGAGGTGGTGTTTAATGCCAGTCTTCCTAAATAATAGCAAAATGCCCGCTAGCTGTTCCCATCCTTTCTCTGACTTCTCGGGCCCCTCTCACCTTTCCAGCCTGTGGGAGCTCCGAGGCCTCAGCTTACCTGGATGAGCTGCGTTTGGCTGTGGCTTGGAACCGTGTGGACATCGCCCAGAGCGAACTTTTCCGGGGGGACATTCAGTGGCGGGTGAGGGGGCTACGCCTTGGGTGGAGGACTGGGTCTGGGGGTTGATGGGTTCTGATGAGGGAGAAGCGTTTTTCCTGCCCTGACTTCTCTTACATTATTGTATTTGTTAAGCCTTTCTTTAATCGTGCAGTCATCCCTGATTGCCACATTTTGTGCCCCATCTCCCCATTATCCATCCATCCATCCACCCACCCACCCATTCCTCCATTTATCTGTCCATGCATCCATTCGTCCATTTGTCTGTCTGACCATGCATCCATCTATCATTCATCTGTCCATCCATCTGTTCATCCATCCATCATCCATCCATCCATCCATCCCACGCCACTCTTACCCTGCATGCCTGAGTCCTAGACCTCCGACCTTAGTTGGGCCTCTGTCACTCCACTCATCTCTTCCTCCGTTCCTCCTTGTCCCCCAAGTCCGTGCACTTAGAGGCCTCCCTCATGGATGCCCTTCTGAATGACCGGCCCGAGTTTGTTCGCCTGCTCATCTCCCGCGGCCTCAGCCTTGGCCACTTCTTGACTCCAGCGCGCCTGGCCCAGCTGTACAGCGTGACGCCCCCCAACTCAGTGGTCCGTAACCTCCTGAGCTCCAGTGGGGGCACCAAGGCCCCAGCCTCTAAAGGCTCCGCGGAGGCTCCGCCCCCTGACGTAGGGCATGTGCTTAAGCTGCTGCTGGGGGAGATGTGCGCACCCCGGTACCACGTGGACCCCCATGCTGGCCTGAGCTCCCACGAGAGTGTAAGGACTGGGCAGAGCTGGGGAGGGGCTGCAGGAACCTGGGGGCGGGGCTCTACTAGGGGAAGGGCGTGGTCATGCAGCAACAGGGTGTGGTTACTGGGCGGAGCCAGCCATTTATGGAGGCGTGGCTCCACTGGAATGGGCGTGGCAGCAGGGTTCGCCGGGAGGCATGGTTAACGGGCGGAGCCAGTTATTAGTGGGTGTGTCTCAATGGGAAAGGGCGTGACCACACGGTGGGAGGTGTGGTTAACCAGGGGGCGTGGTTAGAGGGCGGAGCCAGTTGTTTATGGGCTTGGCTCAACTGGGAAGGGTGTGGTCAGGCAATCGGGGGTGTGGCTCACAAAGAGGCGGGCTTGGTGGGCAGAGCCAGGCATAAAAAGGTGTGGTTCTACAGGAATGGGCGTGGCCATGTGACAGGAGGTGTGGTTAACCAGAGGGCGTGGTTTGTGGGCGGAGCCAGGCAGCAGTGGGTGTGTCCTCGCCCTCAGCATGCCTTTCCCCCACGCAGATGCTACTGCTCTCAGGGAGGGCAACCTCAGAAACCAGGCTGGATGCCATCCTGGGCCAGGCACCCTGGAGCGACCTGCTACTCTGGGCCCTGCTGTTGAACAGAGCGCAGATGGCCCTGTATTTCTGGGAGATGGTGAGTGCAAGCCTCCACGGATCTCCCTCCCGCCTGCTTCTCCTATTCCCTGCATGGCTACTCTCCTAGCTTGTGATAAATGACGCCAACTGCTGCTTCTTCTCACCTTTCTTCATTCTTCATCCGCCTTCTCCTTCCTCTTTCTCCTCTTCCTATTCGATCCTCTCCTTTTCCCTCCTCCTCCTTCTTTCTGCCCCCTTTTGCTCTTTAATTTACAATATGGTGGGCATTTCCCCAAAGGAGCTCCTCCCTGGCAGTTCAAATCTACCGGTGGCACCGGGGAAGACACGCGAGTGATTTACAGGTTCCAAAAACCCACTGGAGGGTCAGCTATGAGACTGTTCCCACTCGAAGCTAAGATTTTTTTAAAGAAATATGTATAATCAACAAGATAATCAATCTCATTCTTTTAAAATGTTTGGACTATAAGGAGGTTAAACTTCATCCTACATCGGATAAGAAGTTAATGAAACATGGTTATTGCAAGGTAAAAAGGTGCAGAGAAGCGGGTGAAGTGAAACATAAGAGTTTATTAGTGGCTCTCAGGCAGATTTACTGTCTGAGGCCAGGAAAGGCAAGGTCAGGCAGCAAAGTTGCAGAAAAGGAAATTACAGGCCAAACTTTATAGATAGGGATAGGTGGTCAGCCCGGTGGTCAGTTCTCCATGGAGGGTGTTGATTGGGTGCTCTTTCTTAGTTCCCTAATACAGAGCTGCTCAGTCAAGCAACATGTGGTTGGTGGTCGTGCTCTTTTCTGATTGGCCATAGTCGTCTTACACCAGGCAGATTGGAATATCTTTTAGAAGGTGCAGTAAGCATGGAATGTGGTCCAACATCCAGGTGGCCTTTCAGTTCTCTTATACTTGCAGTGTAGGTATATCAGTGTGACTACAATAAAGTTGTTGTTGGATGCCCTCTTCTCTGTTCCTGACTCATAGCTATCTTGTGATGCTATGTCGAACAGATGGAAGCCCCGTCTGACCCTGTGCCTTCCTCACAATCTTTGCTGAACTCTAACCCAGTGTTGTGGTTACTGTGTTAATCCATTCTCATGAAGCATCTTCTCTCTCCGATTTAAGTAATAACAGTCCCAAAGGAATAATCCTCGGATGAGAGGTGTAGAAGTTGAGAGCTGGGCTCAAGGGTGAAATGAATTGGCCTTCATTACAGTTGAAGGGAAAGAAAAACTCAACTGCTTAAAACTATCTTAAAATAAAAAAAAATCTGAGGAATAGATACACTGGATACTGTAGTGCTAGCTTTCAGTATTGTAAACAGATCGTTCTATACAGACCTTTTTACTGTTTCTACAATATGTAATAAAGTCCTTTCTAGACCCTATGTGAAAAGAGAAGTGCTGCGATTGAATCTTCAGTATGTTTTCATCAGCAGAGACTTCTTGTGTATGTTAACTGTGCCATGTTATTAAAAAATGTGAACTGAAAAAAAAACCCAACAAAGAAAACCTATCTTAAATTCTTAGAAGCATTTAAACAATTTGCCTCTTATCCTAACTGCTTGTTGTAATAAAGGCTTTAACTATTAGTAATAACAAGTAATATACTTCAATCTCTTGCTCTCCTATACGCGATGTGATAATTTTATTTCCTCTATTTGATCTGTGTGGATCATAACAAACTGTGGCTGACTCTGAGAAGAATGGGAATCCCAGAACATTTAATTGTGCTAATACGAAACCTATACTTGGACCAAGAGGCAGTAGTCAGAACAGAGCAGGGTAACACTGGAAGGGCGTACGCCAGGGATGCATCCTGTCTCCATACCTTTTCAACATGTATGCAGAGCAGATTATCCGAGAGGCTGGGCTCTATGAGGAGAATTGTGGCATCAGGATTGGTGGAAGATCTATTAACAATCTCTGTTATGCAGATGACACAACCCTGCTTGCTGAAACTGAGGAGGACCTCATGTACTTGCTGCGAAGGGTCAAGGACTGCAGCCTTCAGTATGGACTGAGGCTCAATGTCAAGAAGACAAAGATTCTCGCCACTGGACCAATTGGCAGCATCAGGATGGATGACGAAGAGATTGAGAGTGTTCACAGCTTCAGTTTGCTCGGCTCCACAGTCAACATTCTTGGCACCAGCAGTCAGGAAATCAAAAAGCATGTCGCGATGGGAAAGTCTGCTGTTAGGGACCTCTCTAAGGTACTCAGGAGCAACAGTGTCTCTCTGGAGACTAAAGTGTGCCTGATACAGGCCATGGTATTTGCAATCGCTTGTTATGCATCAGAGAGTTGGGCAATGACTAGGGAGGACAGAAGGAGAGTGGATGCTTTTGAGCTGTGGTGCTGGAGAAGAGTACTGAATGTACCATGGACTGCCAGGAAAACAAGCAGATTCATCTTGGAGAGGATTAAACCAAGCTACTCCTTGGAGGCAAGGATTCTGGGGCTTCATCTGACATACTTTGGACATGTTGCCAGGAGGGACGGGTCCTTGGAGAGGACATCATGCTTGGGAGGGTGGAGGGACAGCGCAGGAGGGGAAGACCCTCTATGAGATGGATTGATTCGGTGACTGGGGTAATCAGGATGGGTGTGTCAGAGGCGGTGCGGTTGGCGCAGGATAGAGCAGGGTTTAGGGCTGTTGTGCATAGGGTCGCTATGGCACATAACAACAACAACAATTTGAATTTTAACGCATTTTGTTGTCTAATTGTTTTAAAAAAAGGAAAAGGACTTGAAGCAATTGCTGCAGAAGATCGGTGACTACAGCCTTTAATAGGAATTCTATCTCAATATCAAGAAGACAAAAATTCTCACTGGAGCAATAGGCAACATCATGATTGTTGTTGTTGTTTCTTGTTATGTGCCATCGAGTCGTTTGCGACTCATAGCGACCCTAGGTACAAGAGCCTTAAACACCGTTCTATCCTGTGCCAACCTCACTGTCTCAAACACATTCATTCCCACCACTCCACTCACAGAATCGATCCATCTCATCGAGGGTCTTCCTCTCCTGCGCCGTTCCTCCACTCTCCCAAACATGATGTCCCTCTCCAAGGACCAGTCCCTCCTTGCAACATGCCCAAAGTATGTCAGACGAAGCTTCAGAATCCTCGATTCCAGGGAACATTCTGGCTTCACCCTCTCCAGGACAAACCTGTTTGTTCTCCTAGCAGTCCATGGTATATTCAACACTCTTCACCAGCACCACAACTAAAAAAAAAAGTTGTCAATGATTTAATTTTACTTAGATCCACAATCAAAACTTATTGTAACAGCAGTCAAGAAATCAAAGGATCGGCAGCTAATTAAGCTGCCATCCTCCTTTTCTGTGGAGGCCGGTGTGCAATGGCAGCGAACAGCAACTCCGTGGAAGTGTATGCATCCTGTTGCGTGTATGGGTTACCCTAAGGGACCTTGGAGACAACTCTTGGGGGGGAAAAAAAGAAATCAAAGGATATATTGTGTTGGAAAAAGTGGCTGTCAAAGACTTCTCCACAGCGCTAAAGAGCAATGACATCAGTTTAAAGACTAAGGTGCACCCGACCTACACCATGGTATTGTCAGTGCTTCCTATGCATCTGAAAGTTGGACAGTGAATGAGAATGACAGAAGAGGAATCAAAGTGATGTTGGAAAAGAGTACAAAATATATGCAATGGATTGACAAAAGAACAAACAAGCCTGCCTTAGTTTAAGAAGAGCAGAAGGCAAGCTCCTTAGAGGCAAGGATGATGAAACTTTGTCTCACTCCTTAAGGCCTGTTATCAGGAGGGGCCTGTCCTTGGAAAAGACATCATTCTGGGAAAGGTAGAGGGTTAGTGAAAGAGAGGAAGACTCTCAGGAAGACGGATGGACTCAGTGATTGTAGCAGTGGGCTCCAGAATATTCCAGAGATGGTGAGGCTGGTTCAGAATAGGGCAAAAGCACAGATCTGTGTGTTCACCGGGTTGCTATGAATCGTAATCAAGCCAGAATCGCCTTTCTTTGAGGCTGTGGTGAGCTTTGAGTGAGGTAACAACATGCTAACTAAATGCTTAATCCATAACGGATTCATCACTCATGCAGTTATTGCCGTTGACTTGGTGCTGACGCGTGGGTGACCCTCCAGTGGGTTTTCCCAAATTACACTGAGGAGACTGGCCATCTTCCTCCAGCAGAGCCGCCCGATGGATTTGAACCGCCAGAGAACAACAGTCATTGAGTTGGGAGCGTGCCTCCCCACCGCAAGATGAGGCCCCCAGAGCTCCCCGCCTGACACATCCTGCCAATCAGGGTTCTCTGCCATCCAAAACTCGGGACAAGTCCTCTTCTCTTTGACCACCTCCCTGCGTCTCCCACAGATGCCTTTCTGAACCCCACCTCAGTTCTGACCCCCACCTCAGTTCTGCCCCTCCTCAGTGGCCCCATCTCTGTGTCTCCAGGGCTCCAATGCTGTCGCCTCAGCCCTCGGGGCCTGCTTGCTGCTGCGAGTGCTGGCGCGCACGGAGTCAGAGGCCGAGGAGGCAGAGCGGAGGAAGGACCTGGCCACCAAGTTTGAGGGGCTGAGTGTTGGTGCGTGGGGTATTTGGGCGGGGTATTTGGGCCTGGGGACAGGGAGGGACGTCAGGGGAGAGACGTCAGGGGAGAGACGTGTCCATTTCTTCACTCTTCTCATGCCCCTCTCGCCACCTGTCTGCGTCCTCGCCTGTCCCCTGTTCCTTCTTCTCACTGCTCACGTACGTCTCCTGCCCCTAGGCCTCTTCAGCCATTGCCACCGCAGCAATGAGAAATGGGCTGCCCGCTTACTCCTCCGTCGCTGCCCGCTCTGGGGCGACGCCACGTGCCTCCAGCTTGCCATGCAGGCCGACTCCCGTGCCTTCTTTGCCCAAGATGGGGTGCAGGTGAGTATCTGAGACCCCACTGAGGACCTAAGCCAGCTCCCAGCTAGACCCTGAGACCTCTGGGGCACCAGCCTCTGTCTCCGTGGGGAGCCCATGGTCAGCTCTTCCCCTTTGAGACCACCCCTCCTTCTGGAAGGGCTGTGGGCGTCTTCCAGAGAGATTGCTCCTCCCAGCAGAAGCCCCACTCCCCCCGCAGGACACCAGCCTTCCCTCAGCAGAGCCCAGGCTCCCAGAAAAGTCCTGCTCCAATGCAGGATAAGAAGGAGCCCTGAGGGGTTAGTGGGGCAGGAGGTGGGCCGTCAGTCTCTTCCCACAAAGATTTACAGCATCAGGACGGAAGGAGGGTCACCAGGAGTCAGAACGGACTTCACAGCAGTGGGTTCGGGTGATACAGGGTAATAACCTCATTGCTGTAGAGTTGGATCCCACGTGGATCTCGTCCTCCAGCGAGTTTCCTTTTCCTCGGCTGTCAGCCGCACGGGAGGAGGGTGGCCATCTCCCTCTCCCTCTTGCAGCTGCTCGTGCATTTAAACCAAAATAAAGTGGTCAGAGGTTTATACAGGATGATAGGAAGTCTGGTGGCCTAGTGGTCAGAATCTACACTGCCATCCTGAAGGCACTTGGTTCAAATCCACCAGCATCTCTGCAAGAGAAGGATGAGCTGTCTCCTCCCATGCGATTTACTGCCTCTGAAAACCCGCTGGAGGGTCAGCGATGGGTCCGTTCGACTTGAAGGCAATCAACAATAACAACAACAATAGGAAGTCCCATGTCTCACGCCCGAAGTGCTTCCAGTTCACACAGGAAATAGCCTTCCCTCCCAGAGCAAGTCGGCCTCATCCGCAGGAAGTCTGTCCTATTCTTTAAGAGGCCCCTTGTTCCAGTTCTCAACAATTAGCATGACCTCATTGGATTATATGCTGTTGTCTTCCAAATTTAACTTTTGATGGTGATTAGGGTCCCAGTTATTGAACACAGCAGGCAAACTGGTCTGACTCATCCCACCCTTCCTATGGGAAACTCTTTCCCTTGGGAAGCCCCATTTGCCCGCAGTCACTACCATCACGGCGACCCCGGTTTTTAAGCAACAATCTCAGTATTTTAAATCTGATGTTAGGGGCTTAACCTCATCGAGGATGCTCTCCTCTCCTCCAGCAGGAAGTCCGACAGGAAGTTGAAGTTAGACAGAAGTCATTCCGTCCTCACGTCCTGGAATGACTTGACTGAGGTTTTTTGGTTTTTTTTTTTTTTGCTTTGAATAGTAATTAAACTCATGCATTCTGTTCATTTCTTTTGGCTGCTCCCCCCCCACCCCAACCACCTTGAGACACAATGTCTTCATCTGTGAAAAGGGAGAAAAGATTGTTACCTGTTTTCTAAGGCATATACGGTAGTGAGTTAATCTGTGTAAAATGCTTAACCCAGGATCTGACCTACAGTGTCAAAAGCAGCGTGAGTCATCTTCCCCTCCCTCCTACCCCCCCAACTTGGGGCACTTGACTCTGTGCTGTGGCGCTGTGGCCCAACTTTTGCCTGGGGTCTTAGGGAGTGGACTCTGGGAGTTGGGGAGACTCAGACGCCTTAATCACACCCACCCCACCCCCCACAGTCTCTGCTGACACAGAAGTGGTGGGGGGAGATGGACAGCACCACGCCCGTCTGGGCCCTGGTCCTCACCTTCTTTTGCCCCCCACTCATCTACACCCACCTCATCACCTTCAGGTCAGTCGTCTGCTTCAGCTTGTTACACACAGGGGTCCTGAGTTCTTCTCTCCTGGCCACTCCTGCCCGCCTTTCCCCACTTGGTCTGCCCACTGCTCAGGCTGGGAAGCATGTTCTGGGAGGCACGCTTTTGGGGGAGTTCTTTGCAGTGTTTCTAGATGCCATTCCTCTGCACCTCTGGCCCTGTGTCTTGGGGAAAAGCCTTTGGAGGTGATTCTCAAGGGGCTTTTCTGTCTCTGGGTGAAGAAGTGTGGGCCTCTCTGGAGACTTGGTTTCCTCTCCCCACCATTCCTCATTCTGGACTTTTCTTTCCTCCACATTAGGAAGTCCAAAGAAGAGTCTGCAGAGAGGGATCCGGAGGGAGACATAGATAAGGGCATCAATGGGGAAGGGCCTGTGAGGTGAGTCGGAGCTGCGCTCAGGGTGGACCCAGCACTGTGTGAAGTCAGAGTGGCCCATGAGGCCTCAGGAGTGTCAGGGACTCAGGGCAAGCCCAGTGGTGACCGGGGACTGTGACAGATAGTGACTTTGCTGAGCCCCTAAAGAGACCATGAAAGTCTCCCAGTTGGTTGGTTCTGCCAACCTGAAGCTTGGACCTTCCACCAATGACATAGTCACTGGAAATCAATTTTCTCCATTTTCCAGCTTTAAAAAGCAATTATGATTGAGTGGATTGAAGGTTTTCGTAATCATTCATCTGCTGTTTTATCTAACTCCAAGTCCTTTCTCTGATTCCCTAATATATATAACGTTGTTTTGTGTCATCGAGTTGTTTGCGACTCATAGTGACCCTATGTACAAGAGCCCCAAACGCTGTTCTATCCTGTGCCAACCTCGCTGTCTCAAATGCACTTATTCCCACCGCTCCACTCACAGAATCGATCCATCTCATCATTGGTCTTCCTCTCCTTCGCCGCCCCTCCAGTCTCCCAAACATGATGTCCCTCTCCAAGGACCAGTCCCTCCTTGCAACATGCCCAAAGCATGTCAGACGAGGCTTCAGAATCCTTGACTCCAGGGAACATTCTGGCTTCACCCTCTCCAGGACAAACCTGTTTGTTCTCCTAGCAGTCCATGGTATATTCAACACTCTTCTCCAGCACCACAGCTCAAAGGCATCAATTCTCTTCCTATCATCCCTAGTCACTGTCCTGCTCTCTGATGTATAGCACGTAATTGCGAAGACTATAGCCCAGAATATAACATAGGGCTGTTATAAAAACCATTCTTGGGGAGCTCTGGTGGTCTTGTGGCAAGCACCAAGTCCCTCAAGCAGTGTTGTATGTGGCTCCTATTATCAGGAGTTTGATATAAACATTCTATTTCATTTTTTTAAGTATGGTGGGGGATTTGTTTGTTTGTTTGTTTTTATTATTTTGTGTGTGTACCACGTCAAATCCAATCTGACTGGTACAGGAGGACGTTGTCCCTCCTTCTCCAGCAGAGCATCTGGTGGATTCGAACCATGAACCTCTGGAATTGCAGTGCAGCTTCTTGCTACTAGGCTACCAGAGCTCGCCAAGAGTTTAAATTTTTACAAAGGATCTCCAGCTAGGTCTGAACCACCGACCTTTTGGTTATCAGATGAGTGTATTTAGCCACTGTTCCACCAGAGCTCCATGGGAAAAAACGAGACTGGATGATCTGATGTCTTAAACTGTGGTCGGAGGTTAATAGCCAGGGACATGCACTGTCAAATTGGGGGCTGGGCTCGTGAAAGTAAGGAGGAGAGTCAGAGATGCTTGGGGGCAGAGGTCAGGTAGGTGGTCTGAGGTGAGTCATGAGGTCAGAGGTCATGAGAGAACTTAAGACTTGGATTCAAAGTCGGACATGTGCCAGAGGTCAGCACTGGGGCTTGAGGGAATGAAGGTGGTATTTAAAATTATCATTATTATTATTAGTAGTATTAGTATTAGTATTAGTAATGTTGTTACTGTTTGTGGTCTTAGGGTTCACTCCAGCTCACGGGGGGTGACCCCATGGGCATGGTAGAAGTGCCCTCATGGTTTCAGAACTTCACTTTTGGAAGTGGGTCCATAGGCTGGCCTTCCAAGGTGTCCCTGGGTGGATTTGAACTGTCACCCATTCAGCTAGTAGTCAAGTCTGTGGCACTCAGGAGCTCCAAGGGTCACACCTCAAACCAGGACCAAAGTCACTGCCCTCAAATTGGTTCCCACCCTCAGCAGCCCCATAGGACAGGGTGGAGCTGTGCCGTAGTCTTACCAAGGCTGTAAATCTCTCTGGCAGAATCTCATCTTTCTTCCCTGGAGAGGCTGGTGGGTTCGAACCACTGATCTTTTGGTTCTCAGTGCAGCTTTTAACTCAAAGTACCATCAGGACGCCTAGGGGGTGTCTCCAGGGGCTGAAAGGAGTCAGATGGAGTGTCACAGGTCAGGCAGGTTAGAGGTTGTGAAGGTCAAACAGGTCAGGTGTGAAAAGATTAGTGTGGGGTTTTTTTTTACAGTATTCTTTTTATTATAATATTTATTATTAATTCTAATGAAAATTTACATAGATTTTATATTTCCATTCACTCACTGTTGCACTTTTCTCTCTGCCCACCCCTTTCCCCCAGTTCTCTCTTCTCTTTGAAAAGTAAAAGAAAAATTCGGTCATTGTTACACAATCCCTCCCCCCAAGTCCATTCCACTACGCAGCCTTCGTTCTGGACTCCTGTCATGACAATAATACCTAATCGTATGTCCCTTTCAAACAGTTCTCTCCCTCATCTGTTTCAATGCAGTATACATAATTTATCCCATCTTTCTCAGTCTTCCCCCCAACCCCAATGTCAGTCTTGTTTGACAACAGTGGCTCTATGCAGTATTTGTCCTTTTGTGCCTGAGATAATTCACTCAGCATAACGTCTGCCAGGGTCACCCATTTAGCATACTATTTCATGAGTTCCTTGTTTTTCCTTATATTCCATTGTGTGAATACACCACAGCTTCTCTGTCCATTTGTTTGTTGATGGGCACTTGGGTGGTCTCCAGCTCTTGGCTATTGTGAACAAAGCCACGATAAACATGGGTGTGAAGATTAGAGTTCTTGATCGTGGTCAAGGTCAAGGTCAGATTGAAACAAGACCTGGTCTCCTCTGTCCCTCAGGCCAGCAGAACCCACAGAGAAGATGCCATTGGGGGTGACCAGTCAGTCCCGAGGCGGCAGCGGCTGCTGTGGGGCGCACAGGCCGAGCCCGTGCCTTTCCCGCTGGTCCCACTTCTGGGGCGCCCCGGTGACGGCCTTCATGGGCAACGTGGTCAGCTACCTGCTGTTCCTGCTGCTGTTCGCTCGGGTGCTGCTCATCGACTTCCGGCCAGCGGCGGTCAGTGCCCTGGAGCTGCTGCTGTACTTCTGGGCCTTCACGCTGCTGTGCGAGGAGTTCCGCCAGGGCCTGGGCGGGGGCTGGGGCAGCCTGGCCACCCAGGGCCACGGCCACGGCCACGGCCATGGCCAGACCCCGCTGCGCCGCAGGCTGCGCTTCTACCTGGCCGACACCTGGAACCAGTGTGACCTGGTGGCCCTCACCTGCTTCCTCCTGGGGGTGGGTTGCAGGTGAGTACCCCCTGGACCTTTGCACTCTGGCCCGGTCCTGCTGACACCCTCTCCTCCCCTCCCCCGTCCCCTCCTCCCCCTCCTCTCCCCCTCTTGGTGGCGTGAGCTGTAGGGAATTTTGCTGTTAACCCCAACAGTGGAACCTCTTTGTTGGTTCAAATGCACCAGTGTCTCCACTGGAGACGGCTGAGGAGTCTCCTCCCGTGCGATTTACAGCCTTGAGGAATCCTCGGAATGGTCAGCTGTGAGTCAGTTCTGACTTTAATGACAATGAATTGAATTTATCTCTAGTTGCTGGGTCATACTTTCCAGAGAAAGAGCAAAGAACAGGCCAGAATGTCCTAGCGGACAAATTGTCTTGTCTTTGAGTCTTGGCACATGCTGTGCGCTTCTGAAACACTTTTTCTTCTTCTCATTCGCTGACTCCTCTATCTCCTTCTGGTCTCAAGCCGCGCTGTCCCTGCCTCTGGAAGCCTGTCCTTGTCATCTCCAAGCCCAGGGTCCTTTCTGTCTTCTCTGCCCAGCATCTTGTGAGCCCGCATGGCAGTGCCCGGGGCTGGATGGTGGCTCCCTCTCTGCTCAGGAGAGATTTTAAATGCCGAGTCTTGTCGGTCTCATTTTATAGCCACTTTTTTCCTTTTCTTTTTATTATTTTTATTGTATTATTTTTAGGTGTACCCTCAAATCAGATCTGACTGGTACAGGAGGAGATTGTCCCTCCTTCTCCAGCAGAGCATTTGGTGGATTCGAACCACACACCTCAGGAATCGCAGTGCAGCTTCTCGCCACTAGGCCACCAGATCTCCCTCCAATTGCTTTTTTTACACAAATTGTTGTTGTGTATTGTCGAGTCGGAGCCGACCCCTAGCTGACGTTCCAGTGGGTTTTCGGAGGCAGTTAATCACGTGGGAGGAGATTGGCCATTTTTCCTCCCGTGGAGCAGCTGGTAGCCTTGAACCCTGAGCCTTGGGGATTACAGCGCAGCTTCTTGCCACTAGGCCACCAGAACTCCCTTTTACACAAATAGCAGTATCTTTTGTTTCTTTTTCTGCAGCTGTTTCACTTTCGCCACCATCTCCCGAGACTCTTTCCTGTTTGTACGCCTTTGTTGTTGTTGTTATGTGCTGTCGAGTCACTTGTGACTCACAGCGACCCTATGTACAACAGCCCTAAACCCTGCTCTATCCTGTGCCAATCGCACTGTCTCCGATACACCCATCCTGATTATCCCAGTCACCGAATCAATCCACCTCATAGAGGGTCTTCCCCTCCTGCGCTGTCCCTCCACCCTCCCAAGCACGATGTCCCTCTCCAAGGACCTGTCTCTCCTTACTTTTTTAATTTTCTTTTGAAAATGTGGCATCTGGTTGCCGTCGACGTGTTCCTGAGTGTCACTGGCCGATGGTCAGATGAGGCCGTGTTCTGCTTGCCAGCGTTTACTGAGTGGACTCTTTCTTTTTATTGGGCAGGGAGACAAAAATGCAGAGCTTGAAGAGATAGAGGGCGGATGGAGGGTTTCTCATTGAACTCTCTTCCATTTTTTACTGAAGATAAGACCACATTATACCCAGAGGACACCTGCTATGTTCCAGTCCTTCACCCTGGAGGCTTCTTTTTTCATTCTCGGGCTCCTGGAACCGGTCTGGGGAGGAGTGTATTTCAGAGGCCCACAGTCTCTTTGATGGCTTGGGTGTCTGGGCGCAGTGACTACTGATCAAGCTTTCCTCAACCAATTCACTAAGAAGCTGCTTCCTGCTGCCTTAAAACTCAGCCCTTTCTACAAAGATGGCACCGAAAATGAAGAAGGAAGCCCTTGCCCCTCCCAAAACTGAAGCCAAAGCAAAGGCATTAAAGGCCAAGAAGGCGTCCTGAAGGGCATCCACAGCCAAAAACAAAAAGAAGATCCGCACATCACCCACCTTCTGGCAGCCTAAGACGCTGAGACTCCGACGGCAGCCCAGATACCCCTGGAAGAGCACTCCCAGGAGAAACAAACTTGACCACTAGGCCATCATCAAATTTCCCCTGACCACTGAGTCAGCCATGAAGAAGATAAAAGATAACAACACACTTGTGTTCACTGTGGATGTCAAGGCCAACAAACCCCAAATCAAACAAGCTGTAAAAAAGCTTTGTGACATTGATGTGGCCAAGGTCAACACTTTGACTAGGCCTGAGGGAGAGAAGGCCTGTGTTCGACTTGTTCCTGACTGTGATGCTTTGCATGTTGCCAACAAAATTGGGATCATCTACACTAAGTCCAGCTGGCTAATTCTAAATACAAATTTTTCTCACCAAACAAAACAAAACAAAACAACTAAAAAACTCAGCCTCAGTTCTGACTCACAGCGACCCACCAGCGAGCGGTCCCAGGCTGTAAGTCAGAACAGGAGGACACTGTCCGTTTGAACCGCTGGAGACCCACGGCCTTGGGTTAACAACACAACATGTTAGGTGACTTCAGGGCTTCAGCGGTGACACCGGTTGTTATTGAGTCAGCTCTGTCTCAGACACCACTTCTCATGCTTACTCACCGCACCAGCCGGGCTCCCAACGCCGTTCTAAACCCAAACACACTGCCCTTGGCTCGATTCCAACTCCTGCCAATCCTCCAAAGGGCTTCCAAGGCCGTGAATCTTTGTGAGAGAGAATTGCTTTTCTTTCTCCCAGAGTGGCTGCTGGTTTTGAACTGTTGACCTTCCAGTTACAGTCCAACATGTAAGGTACTGTTGTTGTGTACTGTCGAGTTAGAAACGACCCATAGCTCACCCTCCGGCAGGTTTTCAGAGGCAGTCAATCACACAAGAAGAGTGATTCTCCCAGGCTCTGTGAAATATTTGTCTTGCTGAAACTCAGGAGGACCTGAAGCGCTTGCTGTGGAAGGTCAGGGACTGCAGCCATCGGTATGGATTGAGGCTCAATATCAAGAAAACAAAGATTCTCACCACTGGGCCAGTTGGCAGCGTCGCAATGGATGGTGAAGAGATTGAAATTGTTTATGGTTTTGGTTTACTCGGCTCCACAGCCAACACTCTTGGCACCAGCAGTCAGGAAATTAAAAGACGTATTGCAAAGGGAAAGTCTGTGGTTAGAAACCTCTCTAAAGTGCTGAAGTGCAACGATGTCAGTCTGGAGACTAAGGTGCCCTTGAAACAGGCCATGGTCTTTGCAATCACTTGCTACGCATAAGAGAGTTGGACAATGGTTAGGGAGGATAGATGGAAAATTGATGCCTTTGAGCTGTGGTGCTGGAGGAGAGTATTGAATATACAATGGGCTGCTAAGAAAACTAACAGGTTTGTCCCGGAGTGGGTGAAGGCGGCCTGCTCCTTGGAAGCAAGGATTCTGAAGCTCCATCTGACATTCTTTGGACATGTTGCAAGGAGGGACCAGTCTTTGGAGAGGGATGTCATGCTTGGGAGGGTGGAGGGAGAGCGCAGGAGGGGAAGACCTCGATGAGATGGATTGATTCAGTGAATGGGGTAATGGGGGTAGGTGTGTCAGAGACAGAGATGTTGGCACAGGATAGGGCGGAGTTTAGGGCTGTTGTACATAGAGTTGCTATGAGTCTCAGGTGACTCGGCGGCACATAACAATAACAACAGAAATAGTAAACAATAGTTCTATCTTAGAAATATTACCAAGTAATTCAGCATGAACAGGGTGGTCCCCCATTTACAACACGGGAGTTACCCCAAGTCATGCTCATAACCCAGTTTTTGTGTTTTGCTTAGATGGCATCAGTGTAGCTGGAGAAGGAAGGAATGCAGATATTAAAGCTGGAAGTTTGCAGGAAATGTTTCCAACATGAAAATACAAGTAAAGATTTAATTTCTTTTTTTTTTTAAATTTTATTATTTTTGTGTGCGTGTACCAGCAAATCAGATCTGACTGGTACAGGAGGAGATTGCCCCTCCTTCCCCGGCAGAGCATCTGGTGGATTCGAACCGTGCACCTCTGGGACTGTAGTTGCAGCTTCTTGCCACTAGGCCACCTGAGCTCCCCCAAGATTTAATTTCTAAAGATACTGAAAAGAAAAGGCAACAATAATGAAAATGTCGAGGGGATGGTGGAAAAGATTTAGTCAACTTAATCGAACTGACAACAGAATCTCTCCCGTGAGCTGAGGACCACCAGTATGTAAGCAGATAGGATGAAAGAGAAGAAATTTTACAGGGAAGGAATGTTTCCATTTACCTCATACAGCGTTTTGTATGAAATGACTTCTGAGACCAAGGATTAAGGCGATGTGCTGCCTTTTTAAATTTAGGACTGAAATGATCAAGCCCAGCATTTTCAGCTGAATGGAGAATTATTACATGGGCTGGGGAAGGAATCCAAAGATCTTATCCTGCAAGGGAGAAATGCCCAGTGATCTTCAACATGGAATGAACGAAGCATATTGCATTTTTCCAGACCCGTGTGGATGGAACAGCCTCTCTGTGGGGAGAATGGTTCATCTTGGCCACCGACTAAAAAGTTGGCTGTTCAAACCCAGCAGTACTTAGAAAAAAAGGCCTGGTCATCTGCTTCTGTGATGAGAGCTTGAGAGACCAGCTGCCCTGTTAGGGTGCCCTGAGTTGCTGTGGGAGTGTTCGTAACATAGGGGGTGGGTTGACTTGATTGAAGCTCAATACGTTTGTATGTTTGGTTTTGTTCCCCCAGTTCTTTGGAAGGAAATTTGTATCAAGATTTTTTAAAAACAATTCTAGATTGCGTTTCTTTTGCATATTGGTTTGCAGGCTTCGATATATTTTGCCTTTTATAGGCCAGACAGATACTTCAGCGGCATGTGCAACTGAATCCGCAATCAAGACCCTCCTGGAAATTGTTATTCACTGAGCCAGTATCTAAAGGGTGCAAGCTCCCTTCTCGGCAGCTTGGCACTGAGTCGTTACATGCCCTGTGGCCAGCAGAGAGAAACCTGGCCCCACAGTGCGCTAGCCTCACCTCTCTGCCATGCTCAGCGCTGCAGCGGCAGTCACCGTGTCTCAATCCACCCCACTGAGGGTCTGCTTTTTTGCTGACCCTCCAGCATGATGTCCTTTCCCAAGGACTGGCACCTCCAAAGTATGCGAGACCACGTTGTTCCGCTGTCCTTGACACTAAGGGGCACCTCAGTTGCACCTTCTCCAGTGCAGGGCTGTTTCCTCTTTTGGCAGACCGTGGGACAGCCAGTTCTCTTCTCCAGCACAGCTCAAAGGCATCTATTCTTCAGTTTTCATTAGTCAGCGTCCAACTTCTACTGAGTAAACCCAAGTAAACAGCAGCGAATCGGGCAGAGTCCAGGGTCTAGCCCTGTGGTGGCCACAGCCCCATCTGAAGCGTGAGGTTGGAGTGGTTTCCATTTTTCTTTGCATCCTGTGACCCTTGAATGATGTCTCCCTCTTCTCATACCTCAGGTTGACCCCACACCTGTATGATCTTGGTCGCGCCGTCCTCTGCCTGGACTTTATGATCTTTACTGTGAGGCTGCTACACATTTTCACAGTCAACAAACAGCTGGGGCCCAAGATTGTCATAGTGAACAAGATGGTGAGGGGCGGGGCCAGCGGGACAGGGGGAGGGGCTAACGGGCCGACAAAGGGGTGGAGTCTGCGTTGGACGGGGTCACCCAGGCGACAGACAGGCAAAGGGGCGGAGCCTACATTGAGGCGGGGTCACCCAGGCAATAGACAGCAAAGGGGCGGAGCCTGTGTTGGGGCGGGGCCAAGGCGGGGACTGATGCTTTAGGATTCTGTACAGGGAAAGCCAAGAGGCACCATATCTTCCTGTCATGGCAGGTGAAGGATGTGTTCTTCTTCCTCTTCTTCCTCGGCGTGTGGCTGGTTGCTTATGGGGTGGCCACGGAGGGGCTTCTCAGGCCGAAGGACCGCACTCTCCCCGATATCCTGCGGCGTGTCTTCTACCGACCCTACCTGCAGATTTTTGGGCAGATCCCCCAGGATGAGATGGATGGTAAAGATGGATGAGACTACCTGACATCCTGTTTGTGTTTGAGTTTCCGTCTCCCCTCCCCTGGTCCATGATGTCCTCCCTCCTAAGACTCTGTCCACTTTTCTCGGCCTCTGCCCTTCCCTCCCTCTGGTCTCTGTCCTTGTCACCCAGCCCCCTGCGTTCTGCCTTCTCCAAGTCCCCATGTCTGAGTGTCTCTCTTCTCAGTGATCCTCATGGAGCATGCCAACTGCACGTCCGAGGAGGGTTTCTGGGAGAACGGCTTCTGGGTGCGCACGTCAATCACAGGTGGCTCCTGTGTCTCCACTTATGCCAACTGGCTGGTCATTCTGCTCCTGATCATCTTCCTGCTGGTGGCCAACATCCTGCTGGTCAATCTGCTCATCGCGATGTTCAGGTGAGGCCCGACTGCCCTCTGAGCTGGAGTCCACCATGTTTGTTGAGCCCAGACTCCTGAATCCTGTCTTCAGTGTCTGAACTTCTGATGTACCTCTAATGTTGGCTTGACCCCCAGCTAGACCCATTTCTGACTTGGACTTCAAACTCAAATCGTCTCCCTGAGCCCAGACTGACCTCAGAGTCTGACTCCAACCTATACCCTAATCCACGAGGCCATCCCCAACTTGACATCTAACCCTTAGCTCTGCAGACGTGATTTCAAGCTCCTCCCTATGGTAACCTCTGACTTCCTTGATCTTGACCCCTGCCTGCTGCCCTGGGCTTGGAACAGATATTGCCCAACGTAATCTTGATCCCCTGCCCGGGAACTCCTTTGACCCTTGACTTCTGGCTTCTGCAGTTACACGTTCGGCAAAGTACAGGGCAACAGTGACCTCTACTGGAAGTTCCAGCGCTACAGCCTTATCAGAGAATTCCACTCCAGGCCCGCGCTGGCTCCGCCCTTCATCATCATCTCCCACGTGCGCCTCGTCCTCCACAAATTGCGCAGACACCGGGCCGGGACCCCGGACTCTCCGCACCCCGGGCATTTCCGTGAGAGCGGCCCCGGGAGACCACGGTGGCATGAAACAGGGTGGACTGCATGTCCTTTGTGGGCGTGGCATGGGCGTGGCCTGCGGTGTTAGAGGCGTGGCTTAGTGACGCACAGGGGCGGGAGAGATCGCTGTATGGGCGTGACCTGATGTATGTGGGCGTGGCCTGAGACTAGGGCGGGCCTCTGACGCCATTCTGGACTCCGCCCCCAGGTGTCACCCTCTCCCTAAGGGATGAGCGGAACCTGTTGACGTGGGAATCGGTGCAAAAAGAGAATTTCTTGCTAGCGCGTGCTCGGGACAAGCGGGAAAGCGACTCTGAACGCCTGAAGCGCACGTCGCAGAAGTGAGGGCGGGGCCTGTAGGGGCGGGGCTTCCGGCCTGGGGGCGCAAGAGAGGAGGCAAGGGGTGGGGCTTGCAAAGACAGCGGGTGAGGGCGGAGCCTGGGAAGGTGGTACGCCAGGGGCGTGGCTTCCACGGTGGGCGTGGTTTGACATTTTTAAGGGTGGACACTGCCTTGAAGCAGCTGGGACAGATGCGCCAGTTCGATGAGCGTCTGAAAAGGCTGGAGCAGGAGGTGAGGACCTGGGATCGATCTGGAAGTGTGCAGCAATTGTGCTGGGCAGTGGGGTGCCAGTCACCTGCCCTGACACCCCTTTTGCTCCTCAGGTTCAGAACTGTAGTCGTGTCCTGAACTGGATGGCTGAGGCCATGAGTCGCTCTCCGATGCTGCCCCCTGGGGGGACACCACCACCTACCCAGGCTGGAACCAAAGGTCAGTGCTTGGGGCTCACCTGGGTATCTGTGAGTCAGTTCCTCTGTCTTTTTCTGTCTCACTTCACTGTCTCTATGCCACTTTCTTCTCTCTTCACTCACCCACTTTTTTCATGTCTCTCCCCAGACTGAGTCCGGCTGGTTAATTTTTAAGGCGTAGCCCCACAGGGGACATTGTACCCTGGATAAAGGCCCTGGCCAGGTCTTGCCACCTGTAGCTGGCCTTGTCCTCGCGGGGAGCCCAAAGCTCATGAACTGCTCTTGGAACCACGGAGAGGAGTGTCTTCTATATGGACCACGCTGGCCCAGCTCCTCCGAGAACCAGCCCCTATTCTGGGAGGATAGACCTCGGGAGTCGAGGCTGCTGCCCTTCTGAGGGCCCTGACCCAGCTGGTGGGGTTCGGGGAGGCTGAGGAGTCCTGGGGGTTCAGGGACCATAAACACTACTTATAGCTCCCCACAATGGGGAAATAAAACCGCTTGTGATGAATGGGGTCTGAACGCTTGATTTTGGGAGGAGAAGGGAGTGTCTGAGGAACCTTAGTGAGGCAGCGGTCGAGTCCCTGACGGTTGAACCCACCTGCCGCTCTGTGGGAGAACAAGGTGGTCTGCTCCATAAAGTTAGAGCTGTGGGCACCCACAGGCGGTTTTCTGTCCCACAGGGTCACTATGAGCCACAATCAACTTGATGACAGTGGACTCCTTCTGGGGGCTGTCTGTGTTCTGAGATGGAGGAAGTGGGTTTGGGATCTTTGGTGGATATTTATCTACACGAGTCTCCACGGTCACCAGCCTCATTTAGCTTTTTGGACGTGGTCAGGTGGGGTGAGCAGCTCCTAGCTGGACTCAGGACATGCTGCTCATAAAAACCAATCTACAAGGGAGCTCTGATGGCCTGGTGGCAAGAAGCTGTGCTGCAATCCCGAAGGCTTGCGGTTCGAATCCACAGATGCTTCACTGGAGGAGGGACAGTCTCCTCCTGTGCCAGTTGGATCTGGTTTGACGGTACACAACGAGGAAAAAAAACAAAACAAAACCCAAACAGAAAAAACTAAACTACGTCAGAGGTCAGGGACATCAACTGCTTCAGGTAAATTTAGTTTTTTTATTTTATCTGTGAGGTTCCCCTTGACCATATTTCAAACCTTGGCCTTCCATATGATTAATAAACTCTTTAGTCTCCAGCCAGAGTCCGTTTTCAGTGGAGTCATGCCATTGGTTACTAGGGCAGGTTCCGCCTTGTGCTGGATCCAGTGGATTTGCTGCTTTCGTGGAGAGAGTGACGTCAGCAGTTACCAGGCAGATGTAGCGCCTTCCAGGGCTCAGTGACCTCAGGAGTAAAGGAGCTCACTTAACCTTTTGTCTTGGTGATGTCACCTGTTACTAGGTTGACATAGCTTCTCTGGCAACAGGAGGTACCTCTCCTTCTGCTTAGATCTAACGAGCTCGTGGAGCCGTGGATGATATAGTGGCAGCCAAGCCTACGTGCCCACCTTTCCATCCCGTGTGGACAAGAAAAGATGCTCCTGGGGAGTTTCCCAGGAAAGGGATTCTGATTTTTTTTCCCCTTTTTGCTTAGATTTCTTCTACTTAAATATTGGGTGCTTTCATTCCATTAGTCACCAACTTTGATTACATCACTAGTTACTGGGCAGAATTCCCCAGGCAGTCCAATGAGAGATGCCATGTCTGGCCAGGGCTGCTTGGCCCAGGTATGTAGACAGTGCATCACTCCAAGGCCCTGCATCTGTGAGGTCCCATCCCCCCTGCAAAAATATGTCCACATACACTAGAGTCTGCGTTAGCAGAAAGAAGCCCCACAACAAGATGTTCTGACACAGAGACGGCAGCAATGACGGCAGCATTGAGCTCAAGTACCACAATGTTAACAATTTCAGCTCGCTCGGCTCCACAATCAACACTGGAAAAACCTTCTGTCAGGGACCTCTTCAGAGTGCTGAAGAGCAATGATGTCAGTCTAGAGACTAAGGTGTGCCTTTTCCAGCCCATGGTCTTCACAATTACTTTCTATGCATCAGAGAGCTGAGCAATGAATATGGATGACAGAAAAATTGATTCGCATTGAGATGCTGGAGAAGTGTTTTGAACATACCGTGGACCACCACAGGAGAAAAAAAAAGATCTGTTTTGGAGAGGGTGAAACCAAGTTTCTCCTTGGAGGCAAGAATTTTGAAGTTCTGTCTTATACTTTGGGCACATGGCCAAGAGAGACCAGTCCTTGGTGAGGACATCATGCTTGGAAAGGTGGGAGCAGGAGAGGAAGACTCCAGATGAGATGGATTGATACAGTAACAGGGACAGTGGGATTAGATGTGTTGGAGTCAGAGACTGGCTCAGGACAGGGCAGACTGCAGAATTATTGTATATAGGGGCGCTGAGTTGCAGGCGACTTGAAAGCACATAACAACCACCACCACCAACACCACTACATGAGGATGGGGCAGGGTTCAGTTTTATCGTCACTCTGATTGGGACCTGACTGAGACACATAACAACACCACCAAACACCGACAACACTACCACTACTATCTCATTAACATGTTGTTGTTATGTGCCCTCAAGTCGTTTGCGACTCATAGCGACCCTATGCACAACAGCCCTAAACCCTGCTCTGTCCTACACCAACTGCACTGCCTCTGACACACCCATCCCTATTACCCCCGTCACCAAATCAATCCATCTCATAGAGGGTCTTCCCCTCCTGCACTGTCCCTCCACCCTCCCAAGCATGATGTCCCTCTCCAAGGACCTGTCCCTCCTGGCAACATGTCCAAAGTATGTCAGACGAAGCCCCAGAATCCTTGCCTCCAAGGAGTAGCTTGGTTTAATCCTCTCCAAGATGAATCTGTTTGTTTTCCTGGCAGTCCATGGTACATTCAGTACTCTTCTCCAGCACCACAGCTCAAAGGCATCAACTCTCCTTCTGTCCTCTCTAGTCATTGTCCAACTCTCTGATGCATAACAAGTGATTGCAAAACCCATGGCCTGTATCAGGCGCACCTTAGTCTCCAGAGAGACACCGTTGCTCTTGAGTACTTTAGCATAGCAAAGTAAATCATTAATATAGCAAAGAGGGGGAGCTCTGGTGGCCTAGTGGCAAGGAGCTGCAACTACAATCCTAGAGGCGCACGGTTCGAATCCATCAGATGCTTTGCCGGGGAAGGAGGGACAATCTCCTCCTGTACCAGTCAGACCTGATTTGACGGTACACTCACACAAAAATAATAATAATTTAAAAAGAATTTAAAAAAACAAACAAAAACATAGCAAAGAAAATCCATTCCCAAATGGGATTATAAACCCAGGCACAGAGCACTGCTGCGGAGTTAGCGCTGACACACAGTGATCCTACAGGACAGAGTCGAACGCCCTTTAATGGCTTTCCAAGGCTGTGAGTCTTTACCTAAGCCGACGGCCACATCTTTCCCCCTCAGAACAGCTGATGGGTTGGACCTGCCCTTTTCTTCTTTTTTTAATATTTTTTAAAAATTAATTTTAATGAAAGTTTACAGAGACTTTGGATTTCCATTCATTCGTTGTTGCATTTTTCTCCCTGCCCAACACCCCATGCCCACCCCAATTTGCTCTTCTCTTCGAAAAGTAAAAGGAAAAATTCTTTCATTGTCATACAATCCCTCCCTGCAGGTCCACTCCACTGTGCAGCCTTCGTTCTGGACTCCTGTCATGACAATAATGTCGTTGTTGTTGTTATGTGCCATCGAGTCGCTTGAGACTCATAGCGACCCTATGTACAGCAGCCCTAAACTCCGCTCTGTCCTGTGACAATCGCACTGTCTCTGACACACCCATCCCAATTACCCCAGTCACTGAATCAGTCTACCTCAAAAGGGGCTTTCCCCTTCTGTGCTGTCCCTCCACCCTCCCAAGCATGATGTCCCTCTCCAAGAACCTGTCCCTCCTTGCAACATGTCCAAAGTATGTTAGATGGAGCTTTAGAATCCTTGCCTCCAAGGAGCAGCCCGGTTTGACCCTTTCTAGGATGAATCTGTTTGTTTTCCT